ATATATATATATATATATATGATAAAAAAGATTAAATTTAAATACCTTACAATAACTTCCACTGTTATTATTGTATTCACTGCATATGTTTGCTGCAAAAATCGTGCTTTAAGATCAATAAATGATGTCATATTATTATCATCAATTGTAAAAATATTTGGCTCCGAACGATTTAATTCCAACATCCACTTCTCTATGGCAAGATGCTTAATATCATCTGGCAAATCTGGTTCTGGATTAGGTGGTTTTTTCTAGCCAAATGTCAAGTTTTTTTTTTGTTAATTTTTGTTAATTTCAAATAAATAATAAACTTTCATTTACTTATACAATAATCATTATATAACATAGCAAAACAAATAAACGCCTTATCGAACTAACCTGTAGTATATTTATAATATTGTTATAAATAACAGCTTGCCGTTCCTCTGAAAATGTAGTTGAAGGTCCTAAAGCTTCGAGAGCCAAAGTAAGATAGTCTTGAATACTGGTCGATAAATATGCAGCTCGCAGCGCATTCTTTAAGATATCTGTGAGTAAAACTGGCCATCGTTCTCCATGATATTCCCACAACATATGCATTAATAATCTGATCAATTAAATTTTATAATTTTTATTAACACATAAAGTTAGTCTAAAGAAAATAAGGAAAGAATCAATGATTTTGCTGTTGAAGGACAAAGGTTTTTTTTACTGAAGGCTTTATCATAAACAGAGAGAAAAAATTAATTAACTTACGTAAGAACTTTGCCATAATCCCGAGCATTAAAGTATTCTTCTGCCATTTGTACGACTGTAAAAAAAAAAGAAAAGTAAATTTTATTTTATATATAGAATATTATGAATACGTTAAAAATAATTTTTATCTCTATATTTCCAAAGGCAAATTATCTACCTAGTAATCGCCGCATTCTTGGACAACGATATATCTTGAATTGTGATATCGCGTTTCCTAGTAAACCAATAATTATCATCTGAAAAGGAATGCAAATATTTTATAATAATTTATTTATTATATATTGATTTAAAAGTATACAAATATATACGTAATTATCCTACAGAATGATTAACAGTAGTCTTTTCCCTGTATTGTAAAGCTTGTATGCCGATAGCTTCTCGAGCTGTGTCTGCTGGTTCTGCACTCAATTTCCCAGGTCTCCACGGCCGTTGACCATAAAATTCGAGTTTCTCTTCACCCAGTAATGGATCTGGATCTGGATAATTGCTTATATGCTAACAAAGTATAAAATTCGAGTAATATAATCAGTTATAATATAATCAGAAAATATAGATAATAATGTATTTGTTAGAAAACTAAGATTTTCGTACATACCTGGCAGAGTTCTTTACACGCAGATTGTCGTAAGCTTGCGTGATTAGCAGCTAATTGGAAATAATACCCTGGATGTTGCGTTTGAACAGCAGGTAATCCTTGACGAATAGCCTCATCAAATAATTCTGCAAATGTAGAAAACTGGCTACTCATCCAAGCATGATGTTCAAACATAAGTTCCTTTGGACCAGTTTTTAGTTTAAATCTAATAATAAAAATTAATCAATCATTGCTGTTGAGGTTTAAAATTTGTTTAAATCATTGCACTAAATATTTATACCTTTCTGTGTGAAGTCTAAATTGAGAAATGGCATCTTTAGGAAGATTTAAACTAAACATTATTCTACACAACTTATAATTTATAAAACCAGCAACAGTTTTTATCTCTACTGCGTTTGCATCTGTCATTCTTGTTTCTAGGAGATTGTGATAAGCTTGCATATAGTGCCTGCAACATTTATATATACACAAACATATACACACACACACACACACACACACACACACACACACACACACACACACACA